GGGAGCTCCACACTCGGCCACAGCATGGATAACATTGATCTAGCCTGAAGAAAACTGTGAAAGGATAAGTGTGTTTTTATATGGCGCCACTGAAGCCTTAACTATCAAGGATGCACTCACCTTAAGAGCAGTTTGGGTAATTACTTTCAACGGAGAGTGCCTAAAATGCATTTATGTTATGAGCCATTTGTGCAACAACCGAAAATAAAATAAAAACCTCTGGCAAGTTGGTTTCAATAGAATGTGACATCTGCAGCAATGTCCCAATATATTTATCATGCTAGTCTTCCAAAAATTAAACCACCTATCTGCATAAGTGGGAGAAGTTCTCTGATCTAGTACCAAGGTGTAGGAATACTCTGTCACAAGTAAAAGTCCTGCAATGCATATGTTACTCAAGTAAAAGTATTGGCATTTCAATAAACTTAAAGTACCAAAAGTAATAGTACGCATTATGCAAATAGAACATTTCAGAATAATATATATATATATATGTCTTGATTATAATGATGGATGTGTTTATCACAGCTGGTAAAGGTGCAGCTAGTTGTAATTACTTTGTATGCTGCAGGGTAGCTTGTGAATTGTACTCCAGGTGTAACTAAAGTCTTATTTAATTGTTGTTTATATTTCACATTATTATTCCAATTGTGCCAAAAGAACTAAAAGGTAATAAATAATTGTTTTTGCTAAAAGTACGATGTAGCAAAAACAATAATACTCAAGTACAGTACAAGTCCCTCAAAATTGCACTTAAGTACAATACTTGATTAAATGTACTTGGGTACTTTACACCACTGGTAATTACTTTAAATGGAGAGTGCCTCAAATGTATCAATTTTAAGAGCCATTAGTGCAACAAAAGACAAACCTCTGGTTAGTTGGTTGCAATGGGATGTGACAGGTAGAAATCTGCAGCAATGTCCCCATATATATTTATCATGGTATAGTCTTCAAAAAATATAACCACTATGTGCCCTCCCTGCGGTGGACTGACTGTTGCATAGCGAGTTGGTTGCCACAGCAGATTTACTCAGGCGCGTCCACGCACATTGGCCGCCACACGCACCCTCATCCCGCCTGGCTGTGTAGGAGGAGGTTATATTATATACTGTGAGCTGCTGACAACATGCAGGATAACAAACATGCCGTTGCACGCGACAATGAATTGAGGTGTTTAGGACAATGGGGCGAAAGCGAGAAAGGGCCAGAGCATATATACAAGCACGGCCTCCTGATTTCTGAATCCTTACCTCGGGTCTTTGCTGCCAATCCTTGATCCAATCCAGCCGGGTGTGGTTACAACAAATCCTCTGCTTTTGGAGGAGGAGGGGACGACATTGAACGGAATCCCATCGCGAGGGAGCCGTCCATGAAGAAGAGATGGCGGCGGTGGTCGCGTTTGTAGAAAATGTTAGAGAACAATAAGCAGGTTTAAAGGGTGGAATATGTCGGAGTGTTGGTCGTCCCTGTTCTCCTTCTGCCTGCTGTCACCTCAGCATCTCTATCGGTCGCTGCGGATCCGTGACGTGACGAGAGTGTGATGGTCATCAGCCTTCCTGCGTGCGCGGCCCCGATTCCATTGCCCCTCGCAACAAGATCGAGCGCGCGACACGGGGTCTTTAAAAGCGCGCTCGCTGTGTCTTGGGAGCGCGCTTTACAAAATCACAGATGTTTATTCTTTTTTTTTAGTCCAGTATTATTTAATATACATCTATAACTAACATTTTCGATTGCTATAGTTTATTTAAAGGTCTAATTTTTGATAAAAAATGAACTTAATCAAATAAATAATCCTAAAATGTCCACCTCAATAAAGAAGATGACTAGCCTACATTTAACATTTATGATTGGATAATCTTTTTTTTTTGCTTTCATAATTGGAAAATGTGAATCTGTCTGTACTTTTGGACATTTTTGTATATATATATTTCTAAATATCTTGTCCGTCTCATAAGAGAGACCTTATAATACTTTTTGGAGCTATTCAGTAATTGACATAAAATTAAAACAGACAAATAAATCCGTGTTTTAATAAAAAATGTCTTAATTATCTTAATTTATGAAGGTTAAGAAAAAACGAAAAACCACCACTAGAAGGCGACATTAACTCATATGTATCTGACAAAGCTCTGACAACCTTTCATCCAGTTTATTTTATTTTACAATACAATTAAAAAAAATCCTTACCTTATTGATGTTTTTGCACTTGCAGCAGAAGTCATTTAACACAGCTGTTTTAATAGATACAACTATTTAACTATTTTTATATAGGTTGTCAAACCTGGTTAAGCTTTGTTTTTGCAAAGTTTACAAACTAGTAACATGTAACCAATCTCACCACTTTCCCATTAGCATCAATATATTGACATGACAGGAAATTGATTTGAACCCCTCCCAAAGGTTGGATTATATTATCATTCCCATAACTCCTCGACATTGCAATTGCAGGAAGGAACAAGGGGGAGGAAAACATTATTACTCACATGAGAGTACGTCATACAGATCTCAAGCACTCATTATAGGAAATTATACTGGGAAATGCTCCCACTGTAGAAAAACACAGGCCGCAAATATTGTGACATTATTTCGTTTTTAAAATAAACACATTGAGTTGTTATTGACCTTCAACTAAGTACATATACTGTACTGTACTTATGTAGTATTTTGAGGTACTTTACTTGAATATTTCCATGTTATGTTACTTACTGTATACTCTTCTACTCCACCACTACACTGCATAATAAGTACTTTTACTTTTGTTACTTTAAGTATACTTAGATGCCAATACTTTTGAACTTTTACTTGAGTAACATTTGCAATGCAGGACTTTTGTATCAGAGTATTCCTACACTTTGGTATTTCTACTTTTACTTAAGTGCAAGACCTGAAAACTTCTCCCACCACTACTCCTGGGGAAACAAAGGGAGCAAATATTAGGACATTATTCAGTTTTTAAAAGTATGTATAGTTGATGAAATTTAGAGTTTGTATTCCTGCATAGTGTTTTGTTGTATTTATAGCAGGGGTGTCCAAACTGGCCCGGGGGCCAAATGCGGCCCGCGGACCATTTTGAATCGGCTCTCAGCGAATTCAAAAAGTAGGCCAACAATGGAATATGGCCCACAAATGAAACTTGTGATTGTCTTATATTGTACTTCTTAACTATAAATGTAAATATATATTACCCAGTAGTATCCATGTGTTAATAAGACCACTTTTCAAATAAATTCAGTCAATTAAAGTTGGAAACATTTTCTAACAAATCTTAGTTGATAAGAAAAAAAGCCCAATGACTTATTTACAAGCTTGAAATATACCCTTCCTATTTCTCCTTATTATAATCAATCTGAGGCTTCTGTTTTAATGGACGAGCTGTCAACACTCACATGCATAATTTACCTACATTTGATTGATTTTGCTCATTTATAACAGAACTTATGAGAGGCCCAGCCCTTCGTATATTTTTCTGTATGTGGCCCTCGGTGAAAAAAGTTTGGACACACAAATTGTCAACCGTTAATCAGATTTTCTCGATATTGCGTGGTGACCACAACTCGATGTTTTTGGTATACTGT